TTTTTTTTTTTTTTTATTGTAAATAATATTTATGCCATTTATGCAAAGTACATCCAATCTTATTTGAACCTTCCAATAATTTTATCGGAATTTTTGGAATTTTGGAATTGAAGGAATTGGAATTGGAATTGGAAGATTTGGAATATTGGAATTGGAAGAATTGAAAGAAAAAAAAAAAAAAAAGTTCAACGTTGCTTCTAATATTCTAGTTGAACATCACACTACATAACTTTGTTATCTATATTAGCAATATTTAACATCCGATAAGATTATTATGAAAGGATGAACACTTTGTTATATAATTGTAAACTTATAATATTATTACATCCGATAGAAACTTTTAATTGAAGTTTTTTTTTGAATTACGTTTTGTTTGTTATTATTGATAAACTTTATAGAAGCACGCAATCATTAAATTTGAATCATCCGCAAATCAATTCTTCAAATCTAAAGTATTTAATGTTTTACAATTTATAAGGTAATTAAATTAGTTGAAGGAATTAAAGAATTGAATTTTCTTTATAATCCTTATAATAATTTATTCATTGGTTCTCATCTGTCACACAAATGCATAATACTACAGACGAATTAATAATGTTTAGTTAACCAAAAGTTATAATCGGTATTCGGATTAATTATATCCGATTCTTAAAAGTTATACTTACGGATTAATTATATCCGATACTTTACGGATTAATTATATCCGATTCTTCGGATTAAAAATATCACGTGAAAAATCAGCCATATATTTTTTTTTCAATGAATTTTTTATTTATCTAAACACAATTAAGGATTACATACAAATAAATAAAATTATATAGAGTTTTTTTTTTCTAATAATGTATTATACAAATTATTAAATTACAGTTTTTATGTATGTGAATATGCAATTCTATTTACTCAAAAGCGACTACTGTATCAGTAGTTCTTAAACTAGGTTTATGATTTCCCATAAAGAGTGAAGCAAGGAAACATAATATACCTATTGGTATATCTGCTGTGAAAGCAGTTCTTAAAGCACCAACATAAGCGGAAATAACTGGACCCCTTATTTCTATTGGTAATTGATTAACTACAGTAGCGGAAGCTTTTACCGCGCCAGCGAGTTCAGGTGGAATTGCAATATTCTCAATATTATTAGTAAGAACATTTGAGAATATTGTGCCAACTATTGCAACACCAAATACGGCACCAACTATAATAATTAATGAAAAAAATAAATTATTAATATTATTGAATTTCATCATTTTTTTTTAAAAAAAATTAATTTTGGTACTTACTTAATCTAAAGAACATTAAAAGAGCAGTAACAGATGCAACATCTTTATATTCGACAATTCCTTGTCCGCAAAGCAATGTGGTCTGCATTATAACTTTAAAAAATAAAGAGTCATAATAATGTCAATAAAAAGTTTTCAAAAAAATATTTCCCCCCAACAGCTATATGTAAAAATAACTTACGCCCTATTCCTAAGCCGGCAATAATCATATAACAAATTTGAGGTGCTCTTCCACTATTTTCGTCCCATAAAGTTATCAATCCTGATCCAATTGCGATCAATGCTGCTCCTGTCATACTTAATGTACGATAAGCGAATTTGTCGGTTCGTGATACGGCTTGTCCTGAAGATACTGAGGCAATTACTACACCAAGAATTAATGGAATTAACTCTAAACCTGATGTGGTGGCTAAGGAAAGAAAAACAAAATTGATGGCGTAAGTTTATAAAGATTATATTTAGTAAGAGGTTTTCTCAAAAAGAAAGATACTTACCAGAATCACCTTTTACGACTTGGAAATAAAGTGGAACGTAATAAACCAACGAAAAGAATGCCATTCCTTGAAAGAAATTTGTAGTAAAGCATCCAACGACATGCAATCGTTTAAACAAATGTGCTATAATAATAAAATATATTATATTAGTTTTACTGATGTACAAATTTTCTCGATTAAATAGCAAACGAACTTACGAGGAGCAACGGGTTCGATTGCTAATTTGGTTTCAACGAGACCAAATATTATATATCCAACGAATCCAACAACTAATAATACGATAATTACGGGAGAACTCCACGGGTATTCATTTCCTCCCCAATTCAATGGTAATAAAAGTGCTATAGTAGATCCAACTACAACTATTGTTCCGATATAATCTATTCGTTTAAGTTTTTGCAATAATGAACCTTTTGGACGTGGTATACGGAGTAAGAATATTGCTACAATAACTGTTATTGCTCCCAACGGAAGGTTAATATAAAATGACCATCTAATAAATATAAAAAAAAAAAAAAAAGGATTAATAACAGTTACATGATTGAAGAGTTGATAAATTGTTATCAATATATTTACCTCCAAGTTACGTGATCTAAATTAAGTTTAAAAATGAAAAAAATTATAATTGATTAGTATCTTTATTTGAAATTGGCCTTTTTTTTTTTATTTGCATTTTGAATTTATTTACCTGTAAAAGCTCCACCGAGCAATGGACCTATCACGGAAGAGACACCATAAACACCACCAATCATTCCTTGATATTTTCCACGATCTTGAAGCGAAACGATATCTGATATTATAATCATAACCAAACTGAGAATACCACCACCTCCTACACCGGCTATGGCACGGAAAATAATCATTGTGGTCTAAAAATCACGAAAATTACGAAAATTAGAATTAAAAAAAACAAATTACCAATAAGACAAAAATTTTTATTAGTCAAGTAAGTACCATATTTGGAGCTAAACCGCATAGTAAACTTCCTATTTCGAACGTTATAACTGCAAATAAGAACGTTGCTTTTCTGCCGAAAATATCGGAAAATTTTCCATAAGTTGGTTGGAAAGCCGTCTAAGAACATGTAAAAGAGATTTTTTTAAATACATGTGTGTAAAGAGAAAGCGCAGTAAAGAATGAGCACGTGACAAAAATTTACCATTGTCAGTAAATAAGCAGTGGCAACCCATGCAATTTTATCCAATGCTTTAAAGTCTGAAGCAATCGCTGGTAATGCCGTCGCAACGATAGTTTGATCCAATGCAGCTAACAAAACACCAAATGCCAACCTTTTTTTTTTTAAAAAAAAAAAAAAAAATTTTATCGTTAATTGCTGATAATTTCGGGATAAACATTAATTTGATTAGGTTATCACATACCCAAACATCACTAGAAATAATTGGAGCCTCCCTAATTGTACTAGGGGTTGTCCATTTCTTGGCGTTGCATTATTATCGCCACCAACTGTTGTTTGGGCTTCTAAATCATTGTTTGTCTCAACTTTATTATCATTGACGTTTTTTATTTCCTCCACAGTGTTTGAATCCGTCGAAGTTGTATCTGGTGTTGTAGTTTTTTCTGATGACATGTTTTTTAATTTATTATTGATTGTAATTCTTTAATTAATTCTCTTTAATTATGTTTGAGTTTTTCTTATAATTTTGGTATATAAAAAAAAGATTTTTCTTTTCTTCTTTTTTTTTAAAAAAAAAAAAATTTTTTTTGTCTTTTGAAAATCTATTTCGACATCTCTTTATATATTTTTTTTAAACAATCGCGAATTTTTCATCACTTTTTTTTTTTTATGCTTAAACATTTAACCGGCAGGATTATAAAAACTTAATTTTTTTATTTGTCAGCTCGGCATATTGAAGAAATATTTCCGTAAATTTAATAGCCGGAAAATTATCGTAGTTTTGCCGGAACTAATTAATTTCTTACCATAATTGTAATATCATTTAATCAGATTGTCAATCTTTCATTAAATATTATGTATTGTATTATCGTTAAATATGGACATTCCAATTAGTTTAACGTCCTTTCTGGCTGAAAAATTTGAGGGAATAATTTAAACAAACATGATATTTAAACAAATTAAAATTTTCGGAAGTTTTTGGTAAATCGGAAATATTCGGTACACCCAATTTCAGAAAAGAGAGAGGGGGTACTTTAAACATATGTGAACATATGTGTTTAAATTATTTTAAAATTTCCAAAAATAGAGGAGGGGAGGACGTTAAACTAAAAATTAATTTGAAATGACCTTAATAAGAACCAAAATAAAGAACTGCAATAAACTATTATAATCTTCATAAAATGAAAACTTGCCAAAAAACAATCGTTTTAAATTTTGTCACCTGTTGCTGCGAGTCTGAGAGTAACAGTAAAATATCACTCGGAATTAATTTATCCGAAATATGCATCAAATTTTGTTGGATAATTTAATGCTTTGATAATAATATTATAATGTTCACAAAATGTTCACAGATCTTTTGACAATCTTCCTTAATAGTAGAAATCAGAATTGCGCCATGAAAATCATAACTACCTTGTTATATATCTTACATCCGAAAAAATTGTGACAAACGTAAAAAACGTTAGCTCTCGTTAATGTCATATGAAATTTGAGGTGTTAAATTTTGATTTTATTGGTCCCGGCAATACCGGTCCCTAATAACCTTAATAATCAGCGTAATCTTTCTCTCATCCACACAAATCTTTGAATGGGTTCGATCAATTCCTTTGAGTAACATTATACAATTTTTAAGTTAATTATTGTTTCAATTTTGCACCTCCCAAAAAATCCTCTTTATATTCAGTTTATAAAGATTGCTTGACATTTTTCTTTACTATTCGCATACTCACGTTTTAACGTCACAGTCAATTCTAATTAAAAAAAAAATTGAAAAAGAACAAACTAAACTATTTATTTCAAGGTAAAAAAAAATTAGTTCTAAACAAATAATCAAATTTGAATACCTAAGTTTAAAAATCATCCAATTCATCATCTGCAAAGAATAAAGTAGATCTCGCTCTGTGTTACATCCCATTTGTACTTTTCGAAGCGATATTCTAAGTATCTAGAATTTAAGAACTGGTTACGGAAATTTACTGAGGAATGGATACAGCTAAATTTGGTAGTTTGAATAAAAAAAAAAGAACATGACTATTTGGATCAGAATTTGTTGTACAAGTAGCACAAATGATTAATGGACGGTCTTCACCGGACCGGTTAATTATCTATAATAAGCCGATGATTGATTATGACGTATTTGGCTAATTTATGATTTATTTTGATGTGTACAAAAACGGAATTTAGGATTAAAAAAAAAATTATTTTTTTTCAGAATTTCCCGATCATTAATCGTGATAATTAATAATACAATATATATATTCAGTAATACATAAACATTATTTTAGTTAAAAAATTAAATAAATTAGCTTTTTATATATTAATTAAATTTAAACTTTCCAAAAAATACGACAAATATAGTCACACGACGATTCATGCCAAATTGTTTAGTCTTTTTTCTTTGTTACTTCTCGAAATTATATAAATAATTAATAAAATATTCGATATTTTCACCAAGGCCGCAGTTACGCAACGATGAGTAACTGCCGTTTTTATCGGTCTCGATCACTCTCGAATATTCTCACCGGTTATGACCTCAGTTACCGTTACGCAATGATGACTAACCTCGGTCTTATCTATTTAAAAAGTTCAAGAAAAAATATTTTTATTATTGAGAGAAAAGAATTTACAGTCTGACCTACACCCCTTGGGACCATATGCATAATTTTCAAAATGGTGCATTTAGAGGGGGTGTGCATTTATACTGCATTTATATATATATTTTATAAGCTTGGGACTGAACCAGAAAGTGCATTTAAAGAGGGTATATATAGTGGGTGCAATTATGGAGAGTGCAATTATAGAGGTCTGACTGTATTTGTTATTTTTAAACTTTGCTTATAATTAACGGATTACACAAGCAGTCTCGATAAACCGGATCTTCAATAAACCGGAGCCTTGGAGTTGGGTCTGGAATGGATTACTATGCATGGTACAATATATAAATTTATTTTCAATATATCAGAATTTCCCAATGGAACGGTTTCCTGTGTATTTAGAAATTTGAACGAAATAATAATGTTTATTTATATTTTCCATTATCCCTATTTATAATATGTTTGACTAATTTTCTTTTGTCAAAGTTTATGATTTTTAGAATTCATTTTTGATATATTGTATCTCCTTTTTATTTATGAAATTAGAAATTTCTTCATGGTAGGGGTTAGATTTTCGAATAAATTGATGAATTATAGGATTAATTACTACTGGTTTTAACTCTAAGAGTAAACTTTTACTTTATATCAATTTTTTTTAAAAAAAAAATCAGGTAAATTGATGCTTCTATCGTTGCAATGAGTGGTCTTTTCAATTTCTTAGCTCATGAAATGCTAAATGAGCAAAACTTAATTTACTTTGTTAATGACAAAATTTATTTTTAGAACTAAAATCAGTAACTTTAATTTATAATTTCAGAGGCATTGGCTATTATGAATTTTTTTTTTTTTGAAAATTAAAATTACGTATCTTCTATTGATCATCAAACTTTCAATATGGCCGATGACAATACTCAGTAGAATGTGATTAGCCGGGATTGTATATTTATATGGAGAGATTATTTAATAATCTCTTCATATAAATATACTAGAGGTTGGAACCGGTTAAAATGGTTAACCGGTTAAGACATTTATTAACAGGTTAAGACATTTATTAACAGGTTAAAATGCCGAAAATATTTTGTAATTCTGGCAAAATTTACAGTGCCCGCCAGAATTATAAATCACGGGACTTCGGATAAAAGTTTAGCCATCAGGTAATTCATAATGTGGGCCGAAATTCATAGTGCCGGCCAGACAATTTCGGCCTGAATTTCGACTTTCGGCCAGAGTTTCGTTTCGATTAGTTAGAGTTTTGATCTGGCCTAATTTTGGCCGGGATTAAAAATATATATGATGCTAATCCTGGCCGAATTTTAATGCTGACTAGGATTGAGTTTTAACCGGTTAAGACTTTTCCATCCTCTAGATTATTAAATATCTTTTTTTTTATACTGTATCATATTATCACATATATATATAACGTATATATGTAATCGACAAGGTTGATATTTTTACGGCAATTAATTATGTTAAAGGTTGCATTTAATGTTTTAAAATAGTATCAAGTATATAAAAGATAAAATAAAAATAAAAATAAAAATTTCATGAGCCAAAATTAATAAATAAATTTAAAGTGAATTGAGTGAATTAATCGACGATAGCGCCTTAGTGTAGCATCAAATTTTGAAATTTAATTTTTAAGAAATTAAATATCAAAATTAAGTTCCTCGGTAGTGTAATCTATATAATAAACGGAATTAATTAGTTTGGATTTATCAATTTAACAGAAATATTGTTATTAATAATATCACTTACTACTATTATTGTTTGATTTATCGGAATTTATGATATCATTAATATCAAATTTAATATCAAATATGAGTTCTTTTGTTAAGGAATCTAGGAGAAAAAAAAATGTAAATATTAATATCATAAAGAATATATATGAACATTTTCTGGATGTTTTTTAGACGTACCCGGCGTACCATCATTTTTATTTTCATATAATTTAGATTTTTTAACATTATCTAAATAACGTTGAAATTATAATTGTTTTAACAAACTTTTCAACTTAACTTTTGAAAAATTAGTACCTTCATTATTATTTTCAATCAGATTATTGTTAAATTTCCTTTTGCCTATTTTTTAAAAAAACAATAGATATACAAAATTATAATAATTTTTGCAAATACGGGCTAATCAAAAAATAGATACTGTATGAATAAAACAAATTTCTTACCAAATTCTGGAATAATACTTTGGCTTTTTAAGCTTTTGGTAAATTTTACAGATTTTATCATTGTACTTAAAGGTCGACTTTTATAAATGTCTCCTGGATTATTTGTTGTTATGGGTCCAATATCCGGTGAATTTATAATTTTAGTTTGATTATAACTTTCATTCTGATAATACAATTTACTACCATAACGAGTAAATATATCACAAATCTCGTGAGCATTTGGTCTTTTATTTGGATCAGAGTGCCAACATTCTTGCATTAATTCGATATAACCTTCAGGTGCATTTGTAACAATTGGTGGTCGTAAACCATCACATATTTCAATAATAAGATTTGTATCATGACTTTTATCCCAAAATGGTCTTCTACCTGTCATCAATTCCCACATAATCATACCATAACTATATATATCTGAAGCTTTAGTATATTTTTGTCCTTGAAAAATCTCTGGAGCAACGTAAGGAATGATTCCATAAACTTCATTATCATCATCTGATGACTCAATTGCAGATTTACTTATCCCAAAATCACCCGTTATTGCAGATGTCTTATACTTACCTTTTGTTTCTTTACTAAAAATATTTCCGCTGTGGTAATCTTGATGAATAATATTTGAATTGTGTAAATCTTTAAGACCCCCGATCATGTCAAACAATTTCTTTAATTTAATTTTCCAACTAATATTAAAAAAGTTCTTTGTAATAAAATGTGTTAAATCTCCTGATTCATAATAATTTGTAATTATCATAAAATTTTGGTTAACGGAATTTTGAGTAATTCCAAAATATTTATTAATAAAATTGTAATCATCATTAGTGGTCATATTTTTTAAGATGAAATTATAAAATATTTTAAGCTAAAATAAAAGTTGTTAGTTAGTTAATTCATTGTACTGTATATTAATATTTGTGGTCAAAAGATGCAATACCTCATTTAATTCCTTAGAATCAATATTATTAGAATTATTAAGCTCCTTGAGTACTACTATCATTCTACCACAACGATCAAATTCCTGTTTTTCTTCATTCCATTTATTAGATATTGGACCATCAATCCAAGTAGCTTTATAAATCTTACTAAATCCTCCTTCAGCAATAAATTCTATATCCTTGAATCTACCATAAGGGACAAATTCTAATTTCGCTTTTCTATAATTATAATCGTGATTACTAATGTGCTCTTTATAAAATCATCAATAACTTTATTTCCACTTAATACAGCTGATTTTGCTTTGTAACATTGGTGACAAATCCGATGAATTTCATTCATGAAATTTCTTTTTTTCTTGCATTCATTACATTTCTTAACTTTCAGTTTAGACATGTTTTGACGTTGGATGATTTAAATTTGTAAATTCCTGATTTAGTCAATATATATATACTGTATCTCTCAATTTAGTTGACAAGTGAGGTTGGACGTCAATTAGGGGATGGCCGGAAATGACGTAATTTAAATTTTAGGGATTTTTGGCCCCCTTAGGAAATGACGTCATTTCTGGCCATCCCCTTAGTAAATAAAATTGACATGTACTGTAATTTGTAGTAACACTGGTGACAAATTCGGTGAATTTCATTCACGAAATTTCTTTTTTTCTTGCATTCATTACATTTTTCAACTTTCAGTTTAGACATGTTTTGACATTGGATGACTTAAATTTGTAAATTCCTGATTTGGTCAATATATACTGTATCTCGGGATAGATGAGTCAATTCACTCAATTTGGTTGACAAGTGAGGTTGGATGTCAATTAGTCAATAAAATCGCCATGTACTGTAATTTGTAAATTGTAGTACAACTTCAGGTAAATTGTTAACCCGGTTAACCAGTCGGGTCTTAAACCGATTATAGCCGAACTTTTGGTTGAGAGTAATGTTGGTCAGCACTATAATTTTAGCCTACATTATATTCATATGACAAAGAAAAAAAAAATGTATTTTAAACATATTTTTTAAAGTATAAAAAGTAATTTATTATTATTCGTTTAACGAAATTTACAATGTATGGAAGATTCTGAATTCTTTAAGCGATAGACCTAACTCGTAATGCTGGCCGGCATTATCGTTAAAGCGGGTTAAGCGGTTCAATTTAGGCTAAAGCAACACCGACTTAAGTTGAGAAAATACAAATTTTCCGTGATACTGAGAATTATAAAATCATGTTACTAAGAATTTATTTTACTCAAGAATGAAATCCAAAATTTTGTTTTTTTTATCGATTGATTATCGATCACACAATTATCGCTTCTTACTAGCGTTTAATAGTTCGTGGTTTTTTTAAGCATTCAGTATTTATTATACAAGCAATCATAATTGTGTGCTTTTTTTTTGATATCCATAACTAAGTTATTTAACGACCTTGCTTACAGCAGTTACAATATAACAAAACCATTTTGCCCGCTTTTAAATATTGTGTAGTTATGTAAAAAAAAAGAACTTATAGACCCCTTTCTTAATTACCAAATAATTAGTCATTTTTTTGGGCATATACTGAGATCATGTCATTTATATGACTTTATAAGTTAGCGTCGATTAATATTTATTTTGCGGAGAGTACATTTAATATTAATAGTCATAATATTTATTAATCATAAAGATGTAAATATAAAAATTAAAAATTAAATCAGATAGTGAATTTAGTAGCAGTATTAAACTTCTATTAACTTTGAAATTTATGTTTGAAGAAATTAAATATCAAAATTAAGTTCCTTAGAAGTATAACCTATATGTATATAATAAATAAAATAATTAGTTTATCAAAATATATGATTTATAATACTAATTATTTACTTACTATTATTAATGTTAGGTTTATTAGAATTTATATTATCGTTAATATCAAATTTAAGTTCTTTTGATAAGTAATCTAAAAGAAAAAAACCATAAATCTTAAATGGATTATAAAAAGTTAAAAAATCATAAAGAATATTATATTACATACCATCGCGTTTATCTTCACATAATTTAAATTTTTTAACACTATTATCTAAAATAACATTTTATTTTCAAAAAAAAAATAATAAAATTAATTGTTTGTTCTAACAAAGTTATCAAATTGATATTTTGATAAAAATTAGTTATAAAGAAAGAGAGTTTATAATACCTTCATTATCATTTTCAATCAGATTATTGTTAAATTTTCTTTTGCCTTTAAGAAAAAATGAATGAAAATTTTAATAATAGTTAATGATTGTTCTTCTTAAATCTGTAAATTCGGTAGAACAAACAAATACGAATAAAATAAATACTTACCAAGTTCTTGGATAGTACTTTGGATTTTTAAGCTTTTTGTAAGTTTTACAGATTTTATCATTGTACTTAAAGGTCTACTTTTATATATAGCACCTGGATTATTTGTTATAGGCCCGATATCCGGTGAATTTATAATTTTAGTTTGATTGTAACGTTCCTTCCCATAATACAATTTACTAGTAACATAACAAAATTTCATCCAAATATCATCGGCAGTTGGTCTTTTATTTGGATCGGAATGCCAACAATTTTGCATTAATTCAATATAACCTTCAGGTGCATTTGTGACAATTGGAGGACGAAGACCATCACATATTTCAATAATAAGATCTGTATCATGACTTTTATCCCAAAATGGCCTTCTACCTGTCATTAATTCCCACATAATCATACCAAAACTATATATATCTGAAGCTTTAGTATATTTTTGTCCTTGAAAAACCTCTGGAGCAACATAAGGAATGATTCCATAAACCTCATCATCTGATGATTCAATTGCAGATTTACTTATTCCAAAATCACCCGTTATTGCAGCAGATGTACCTTTTGATTCTTTACTAAAAATATTTCCACTGTGGTAATCTTGATGGATAATATTTGAATTGTGTAAATCTCTAAGACCATTACCCATGTAAAGCAACTTTTTTAATTTAATTTCCCAGCTAATATTAAAAAAATCATTTGAAATATAATGGTTTAGACTTCCTGATTTATAATAATTTGTAATTATTATAAAATTTTGGGTAATTGGATTTTGGGTGATTCCCAAATATCGATTAATATAACTGTGCTTATCACTAGAGGTTGTTCCTTTTATGATGAAATTATAAAATATTTTAAGCTAAAATAAAAAGTTTGTTAGTTAAGTCAATTATTTAGTATTTGTAAATAGCATAAAGATACCATACCTCATTTAACTCTTTAGGATCAATGTTATTAGAATTATTAAGTTCCTTAAGAGCAACTATCATTTCACCAAGGCGTTCAAATTCTTGCTTTTCTTCATCCCATTTATTATCAGACATTGGACCATCAATCCAAGTAGCTTTATAAATTTTACTGAATCCCCCTTCAGCAACAAATTCTATATCCTTAAATCTATCATAAGGAACAAATTCTAATTTCGCTCTTGAGTCACAATTACTTAATGTGCTTTTTATAAAATCATCAATAACTTTATTTCCACTCAGTTTGCCTGTTTTTGCTTTATAACATAGATGACAAATTTGATGAATTTCATTCACAAGTTTTCTTTTTTTCTTGCATCCTTTACATCTCTTAGCTTTTAGTTTAAGCGTGCCCCGTGTTGGATAACTTAAGGATGTTGATTCCTGAACTTGTACCTTTTTGCAAACTGGGCTCAAATCCCATGTGTTATCTAATAAATTAATTGGGGTACGACTCAAAGATGTGTTATTCGATAAGTCAATTTGTGAATGATTTAGAGATGTGTCAATTGTTGAATGACTCAAGGATATATTATTCGGTGAGTCATAATTCGTAGATGTATTATTTGATAAATCAATTGGTAGATAACTCAAAGATGCATAATTTGATGATTCAATTGATGAATAACTTAAAGATGGGTCATTTGATAAGTCAATTGGTGGGTAACTCAAGGATGTATAATTTGATGATTCGATCGATGAATAACTTAAAGATGGGTCATTTGATAAATCGATTGGTGGATAGCTTAAGGATGTATAATTTGATAAGTCAATTGATGAATAACTTAAAGATGGGTCATTTGATAAATCGATTGGTGGATAGCTTAAGGATGTATAATTTGATAAGTCAATTGATGAATAACTTAAAGATGGGTCATTTGATAAATCGATTGGTGGGTAAGTATAATTCGATAAGTCAATTAGTGGATGACTTAAAGGTGTGTTATTTGAGTTAATTGATTGATCCATAATTTTTAAAAATGATTCTAAAAAAAACCACCCGTCCACACTTATTATATATTTGTAGACTGCTTGTAGTACAGTAGATCACATGGAGGATTCCAGGAGTCAGGGATTATTTGTACAACATTTACAATTAAGTACTTTTTAACTTTTGTCCTTTTAAAGAACTGATCAGCAAATAAATCCATATTTTTGACCGGATTTATTAAAATAAAAGGATTGAAGTTCTGTAAGAACATTCTCAATAGTAAAGTTTGCATGAAAGTTCTATTGTAATATTCGCCATAGAATAACTTTCTGTTTCACATGTTTGAAATTCGAATCTAAATTCTTAGTGGAAAAGAAGCAACATTTCTTCTAGAAGTTTTTAGCATCATAAAGCAAAACAATTGATATTTTATTGAATTTTTAATTTTTTTCATAAATTTATTTATTTATTTATTTTAATGTGAAGAGAAGTTACGTAGTCTAGTACATAAAAAAAAGAAAAGCTAAAGCTTAATCTAAAAGCCTATAACTAAAAATTAGACTTTAAACGGCATGCACCAGGTAAACCCTGCACACCCACCTCTTCGAACAGGTAATCCGAAGCGGTCTGTGAACAGAAGACAATGCCGCTGCCACGAACCAATCTATATGATAAAAATTATTTTATAATTATTCACCCGATCACGTGAAAATTTGAAATTTTTGACGACACCCTTTTTCGTGGGCGCGATTTTTTTAACGCGGATGTGACAAATAGGCATCAGACAAAGCTGAGATACTCTTGCGCCAGTCACATGTACGGATGACAAGTAAATCAGAGTATCAAAATTCAAACACTATTCCACAATTATATAAAATCCATTATGGTTATTATATTATCGATCAAGGTGAAGCTTGCTCAAGTTGCGATATCGTGCCATTTGATTATCTGTTATTTCTTTTACCATCCATAACTTTTGTTTTTTTTTTAAAAAAAAAAATGTAACTTTCAAAACATGATGGAAATATTCATCCAAAGAATGGATAAAACAAATTCAATTGTATTTTAAAAGAAAATGATATTCTTAAAATTGCGAAAATGATGATTGATCCCATTATAACTAAATAAATAATAATAAATCATAGGAGAATAATTATTTTTTAATTTTAAAAAATCATGTAAAAGAAAATTACAATTATCAAATTTTATTATAAAATATTGAAGAGTAAAAAAAAAAAAAATATTACCTATTAATTTAATTAATTAATTTATATATAGTGGGTGAGTATAACAATGAATGATTTTGTAAAAATATTATGTTAAACCTTTTCTGGTTCAAATTTCCGAATAAACTACATTTTTGATAATGAACTGTCCCTAAAGATCTCGCATGGCAAAACTGGAGCTGAACAAAATTATGAGGTTTCGGTTTAAAATTTGTATATTCGTTGTTGTCTGATTATTAATTCTCATCATTAAAAAGGTTAGTCACGATTTGACAATTTAATTTATCAAATCAATTGTTTTTGGAGAAATTTTTCGGCTATTTTTTTTTTAATAAAGAAGGAACTAAAGTTTTAAGAAGGAATTATATTCGTATAGAACTTATTTCTTTTTAAAATTTTGTATTTTTGTTCAGAAAATAGATTTCCAAATATACCTTTTTTATAATACTGATATTTTTTGATGCATGTCATCTTCAAATGTAATACAAAAATCATTCACGAATAATTGATAAACTGTAATGTACGAAAGTGATAACATTGGTAAATATAAAAATATACTGTACAATGACTGATGAGTTATGATTGTGTACAGTACGGTTTAGCTGACCGTACAGTACATCTAATTATTAATTCACTGTAAGAGTCTAATTAGTAGTTCGTTCAATAAACGTTCTTTATTGTAATTGATGACGAACATACTGAAATAAATTGTTAAATGAGACTTGCTATATATTACATTATATTAATAAATAATAAATTAAATGATAATAAATTACGTAAAACATAAAATCGTATAGAAAAATCTTAGATGATCATTATTTTTTCAGGGTTGATATCTTTAATTGTCCATTTTAGCTTGAATAAAATAGTAATGATACGTAAAGTTCAAAATTCGTAGAAAGAAATATGTCTAATTTGAAACTGAATTCAAGATTCATTTTTAAATCATGATTGATCTGATTCATACCATTGTATACAAAGAATTTTATAAAACCACTACATGATCATTTAAAGTAGAAATTTGAATACGTACTGTATAAATTTCAAATATCATAATACTTGAGGAATGATGCGTGTTGAGATTTGAGAGAAACCATAAACAGTTAGAAAGTTTTAAATCTAAAGTAAAAACTTGGAAGTTTACATGTAGCAATTACGTACCAATCGTACCGTACATTGTCATTAATTAGCAAGATTCTGGTTCACATAATACGTGCTGGTTGATTCTATTTTAATTCAAAAAATTTTTGACGAAAATGTCTCGTTTTAATTCAAGTCCAAGCTTTAATCCTCAACATATATTATTAATTCTTACCATTTCGACTTGAAAATATATTCCAAAGCCCCATGAGTTACATTTTTCATTTTTCTTTCGGCATGTGATAAATTATTATAAAATAACCCATAATATATCACCAAGTATCAATACGCAAGGTGATTGATTTTATTTGTATAATTGTATTAAATATTTCCACGTTATTATTTCCGGTTTTGAATGCGGCTTTGTTAATTGTTAAGGCTTAGTGTTTAAGGATTTTTGTGTATAGACGTACTGAAATTTAACTATCTTTGAAAGATTAAAATTTCTATTGAATTTCTTACTCATAATCTTTTAATTATCTGAAACTTTTTCTAATGTTATGATTATTGTTCCTCAAGATTAATTTTTAAATAGAGTTTTTTTTACTATATCAGTCGCCTCATTGTATATAAAAATATACATATATATATTGATGATAAACTAATTAACAACATAAAAATAAGGCCAATATTGTCATATTAAATATATTCCTCGTGTTTGCAGGGTATAAAAGAAAGTTAATAGACCTCAAATAGATTATACTATATTGCTCGTATAAACTCGAAGACTGATTAATCTGGTTGTTTTTAAGGATCATAAAAAATTGCGAATGGCTTAGTTTTATGCAACTGGCGGTGGCCAACGTGGTCAAAAAGGCTGAGATTTAAAGCGTATTAGTAAGCCACGTATAGTCGTATACAAATAATGTAAAGCCAAATAAATGTGGCTTGTCAAGTACATCGCCACAATATTCGTTGAAAATTTATAATTACTTGATGTTAATTTATATAAGAATAAATTGAAATATAACATCTAAAAACTTTTTAAAAAATAATTGAAAAAATGAAGTTCAAAGCTTTCTTTACAATTTTAGTGTTCATCACCATTTCTGCCCTAATGGTTGCAATACCACAACGTGGAAGTTAGTAGTTAAATAATATTTATTATTTTGTTTAATTTTTCTTTTCTTTAAAAAAACTAAGTTATAATTTTTTAATAAGCTATATGTACTATATGGGGTATTTGCTAAAATTAAAACTTGTCAAAGTATTTTTTTTTCTTATACAGTATGTTTTTTTGTTTTATTTTGTTTTGAAATAATAACACTAACGCTAGTTTTTTCTCGTTGCTTTTATTATTTCATGGTCATTATTTTTGTGGAACTTTCTTCATTATTTTCGCAGTATTTTTCTTCACTAACTTTCGCGATACTTTTTTCATTATTTTCGTATATTATTTTCCCGATATTTTCTTGTGACTTCATTTTTTGCAGTACTTTCTTTATCAGTATTTTCGCAGTGTTCCTTATTATTGAATTGTAATTTTGCTAATATTAATATTACTTTTATGATTCTTTTATATAACAATAAATAAAGATTTTGATACTTTGAAGTTGTTTGTATCTCCGTAAATTATAAATTTGTAATTATTTAAGTAACGTTAAAAAATTTGTAATAAATAAATAATTAGCCAATCAGTTATATTTCAATTACATGATATGGTACACAAAAAAAAAGGATTTCTATATATCGGATATAGAATCAGGAATTGCATGCGCATATTATAAAAAAAAAAACCTCGAATTTCTTCGACATATTATTTATCATTCCTTAAGTTTACAAAGATGAATTGGAGTAAATAAAATAAAAAATTTACAATAATAGAACTTTACAAACTATTATTACATCAATTGGATCAATTGGTCAGATTCTATTATTTTTGGATAAATTTTTGTACGAATGAGATCAAATTTTATTTCTCTAAAAAGAGTAACCATTGATGTTAATATTTATATCCGTCTTTAATTAATAGCGATCAAATTTAATGTAAGTATGTAATAACAATTAGGATTTTTTTTTTGATTTGAGAGTCAGAGTGCGAGTCAAAAGTTCGCCGGACATTAAGAAGTACTGGCAGGAATCACGAGTTTTTACACCAGCGCTTTTAATCACGTGGTCAGAATCAATCATTATTTGATTAGAACGCGAGTCCACGTCCTACATTTTAATAAAAATCAAAAATAACCAAAATCAAACTTTTAAAAAAAATCATCATTAACGTTACTTCTTTCTCAAGTTACTTACTAAACTTACAATAAGTATATGCAAGGAAGCTTTGGATGTCAAAAGTGCTTATAATATGAAGTTGACTTACTATACAACAAAAAAAATACAAACTCTACGTCACGTAATCCTATCTCTTTAATATTTCAATTCAAGTAACCCGATCCATTAAACAACGCATCATAGAATAATTTGAGAACAAGCAATTGATGACCGTTCATATTGATTGGGTACTTGATACGTGACATAATGAATTATGAAATAAATTAGTTACGCCCTTTTGCTATTTTCAGTTAAAGGTAAATAATGATAGGAAAACATATCATATTTATAACCCATTAATGGAAATTTCACGTTATTCAACAGTATGTACTAAATTGAACTTCCATTTCCTAAACAGTTTTATCAAGGTATAAATCCACATTTTGTTTGAATTTATGTATACACCGATGCCATTCGGTATATAGTACGTCATACATACTTGTTATTCCATGGATATTAATGAATAACTAAAATATTCACCAATGCCTTGAGACCCCGAAGGGCGGTGTATATAGAGATTTTATTAGATATCCATGAAATAACAGGTATTTTATTTCATTTCGATTAAAGCTCTCTAGTGCAGGGATTATAATTTTTATAATAGTTAGTAGTTACAGTTACTCATTTTTTATACAATTACGGTAACTGCGTTCAATTTCACCGAATGTTTTTTGCCACAACCCCTGTTGGTGCATTTATTTGGAAAATTCAATAGACTGTTCGTAAGACATGTCTGTATTTATTTATTTATATTAAATATTGAGATCCTATATGTGAAATGTTTTTTTTTAATTTTTAAGATAAAATCAAAAAAATTTTTTTATCTTCTATTTATCTATTTTTTATGATTTGATTATATAAATAATTGCTAAAAAAAGATTGTATTTGAAATTGAGATATCTGTTATACTTGCTTTTAGCTTAATAATATTATTAACCAATATTTTTTTTTGTAATTTTATTATTAATAAAGGTACAATATAATATGAAAGAATTTATAAATAATAAAGTCATTTTTCCTTTTTTTAAATTTTTTATGGATTTTTTGATAAAAATTTTGGATATAAAGATAAATAAATAAATAATAAATTACGAAAAGAGGAAAGAGGAAAGGTAAATCAAAAATAGAAAGTTTATTCCTTTTTTATTTTTATAAATTTTCTTTTTGATTTTTCCTTTTTTTAAAAAAAGAGAAAAAGTAGATCAAAAATGGAACTTTTTAATTTTATATATATATATATTTTTTTTTTTTTCTTTTTTTTTATTTCAACGAAAAAAAAAATGTTTTTTACGAAAAGAGAAAAAAGTAAATCAAAAATGGTAAGTTATTTCCTTTTCAATCAAAAAAAAAAAAAATCTAAAAAAAACGTTAGCTTTGCTATACTAAACGACTAAACGTACAGTATATATTAAATTATCCGAGACTTTTTCATCCAAATTGGATTTATGGTTAAATTAAATGCACAATCTAATCCGAACTAATCTATAAAAATGCTTAAAATATGATTGTCAAATTAACAGATTATCTAATGCATTCCAGGATATGATGGCACAAAAAAATTTGACATGTGTGGTTAACTTTATGACCATTGTTTCCTATAAATAGAACCTGAACCATATCGGATTAACGGATGTCAAAATCCTTTATAGCCTCATAATTAAAAATCATAAACAAAAAAAAAAGAAAAATCACATAAAAGTCAAACTAGCACGTTTAAAACTTCATTGAAATCATCCAAGAATATATAATTCACTAAACTTAATTCTTTATCGTGGGAAAAATAAAATTCATGCATATGAAGATTTGATCAAAATACTCATAAAATAAGTTACGTCTGAATATAAAAAAAAATTCATTTTTATCAAAATGAGCTAATTGAGTAATAAATTTTATGAAATATTATAATTTATAAACTTTCTTTTTGATTTTTTTAATAATATTTAGAACTTTTGATGGTGGAGAAGATTAGCAAATAATATACTTGATTTCATGAAATAAATTATTCCAAAAATCTTACGATGAATGGCTTACTTTACTTTGAGAGAATACCGACAGATAAATATGTGTTTTTCTAAGACAGAAGAAATCTCATCCTAACTAATATCTTAACTACCGTAATTTTTTTATCTAAATCAAATTATGTGTTGTACAAATTGAAGATGTGGTCCTGGAATAATTTTTATAAATTTTCATATCATGACACCGAAGAACATAAAGTAGAATTGAGATATTAAAATTGATGTTCGGATTACATAGTAAATGATATAATAATAGTTATATACTGATATGTAAATGAAATTACGATAAATATTTCTTTATTTATCTTCTAACATATATATAGGCTATCGAAGCACTGATTAATGTTAAAAAAATGTAAAAAACAAAATAATTATTATTATAAATAAAATTACAATTGGATAATTGCTAATTTTCGATGCATTACGCCAATCATGATAGGCGATCTCCAGAATTTTTACGTACGGATGAAGGTCTTTCTGGCGATGGTTAGAGGGAAATACTTTTGTCCACAAACGAATTGGTGCAAATACTAGATCCATCAAAGTTTGTGATTGTGGACAATCATCATAACATGAACACAAGACGTTATTGGCAATCACGGTGCCAGCACGTGTGTAGAAACTGATGTAACCGGTGTCTCCTTCCTAATTTTGAAATATAAACTGAAATTAAGAACACAAAAGACGCATTAAACATAAGAGATCAGTGGAACAATCATACAGTTATCAAATTATCGACTACAACAGGAACAAGCTCATTTGTTTCGTTCAAAACTAAGATTTTTGTTACACCAGGTACCACATCTTTAGCATACAAAATCGACAGATCCTCGTGGAAAATGCAATGCGATGGTGTTGTGCGAATTTGGCCTTGTTAAAAATCGTAATATTATCATTAAGTTGTAATTTAAAAATAAAAAAAAAATTTAATTTAAAGTAATGGAATATAAAATACCTTTTTGTCCATCTGATCTTGTGAATTCAATCTTCGTCATTGATAGAGAATGATCAAAATGGCCAAGGTGAGAAATCAGATAAACTTCAGAAAATTCCTTCTCCCCATTTTTAACATTACTGCAAATGCAATCGCCAACTTGAAGTTTCGCCATTTCTATGAATTTACCACTAGAAAGTTGCACCTTTGTATCAAGAGAAAAACATCCATCATGATGATGATGTCTCCTCTCCTCTTCGCGTCTCCTCTCCTCTTGGAGTCTTCGTTGTCTCTCCTGTTCTCTTTGTAATTCTTCCATCATTCTCACACGTTCTCGTTCTGCTTCTTCACGTTGCCTTCTATACATTTCTTGAAGTCTTTGTTGCTCTTGTTTTTCTCGTTCCCTCCTTAAATTCTCTTCCCGTTCTCGTTGTTTTTTTAGTTCCTCTTCTCTTGCTCGTTGTCTTCTTAATTCTTCTTCTTTCTCTCGTTGTCTTTTTAATTCCCATTCTCGCTCTCGTTGTCTTCTCAATTCCTCTTCTCGTTCTTTCTCTTGTCGCATTTGCTCAAGCTTTCGTCTATATCGTTCTTCTTCTTCTTGTTGTTGTTTCTTCCTTAAATTTTCTTCTTGTATCTTTCTTTCTCTTTCCTCTTGTTTCATTTTCTCAACCATTTGCCTATGCTTTTCTTCAGCTTCTTGTTGTTGTTTCCTCTTTAAATTTTCTTCATACTCTTGTTTTGCCTTTCGCTCTCGTTCTATTTGCTCAACCTTACGTTTGTGGGCCTCTTCGGCTTCTTTTCTTGCAATCTCTTTTAATTTCTCTTCGTGTTCCTGTTTTTTTCTTTCTTCCTCTTCTTCTTTTTGACGACGAGCTTCCTCTTGTTCTTGTAGAGACTCTTCAAGTTGTTCAGTGGTATAAACTCCCCGCATACTGCTAATGAATGCCTTTATTTCACCTAATCGTGCCTGATGAGTTGGATCATCTGGTGGAAAATAATCAGAGTTTGGAGAGATACCCCAACGATTTTCTATATCCTCAATAAAGGAACAAACAGGTTTATTCCACGCTTTTCGCATTATATCTCTATCATAAATCTGTGCTTTGGTTGCATGAGAAAATATAGCAATTATATAATTCGTTGCGCCTTCTCCAAAAAAGTTTCTTATTCCTTCCAAAACACCTCTTTGTTCAGCACTAAACCGTTTTGCTTCTATTAAACCATTCAAATTAATTACGAGTATAAATTATAAATTCCAATAATTATTACAAACCAAAAACAAAAAGGATAGCCTTGATCCCATATTTGCATTTCTTAATGGTTTTAGCGATTTCTTCAAGTATCTTGTCCGTGACTA